TATATTATATAAGATATATAATATATGTATATATACGTGGATGTCTTAAACAGATCTTGCTTTTGAACGACCAACATTTACTGCCTTCATGACAACAGCTTCTGACTCAATCCATCTCTGCACATATGCAGGGCTGGGCATTCTTTGCCACCATCTGATCTTCCTTTTCTTCCTTAAATAAAGAAAAACCCCTTTATTCCATGAGGGAGTTAAGCACTTCTTTTCCCTTTGCAGTCCCATTTGAATGTCGCTTTCATGCATCCAGACGCTGAATCTCAGGGCGATGATCTACTTCTCTGGATTCTGTCCGAGCACGTATGTAATCACTGGTCTGCCGACTACTTTGTTGTCTGCTGTTCATTCGCCACTTTTTAATAGCTAAGTATGTGTTCACAGCATACACTGCCATTGCCAAGAAACCAAATATCTACAAGAAGTAGAAAGAATTGTCAAAGACAATTTTTGAAAACAAGAACAATAGTAGTTTCACAACAAATTCCTCAGAAACTTAGTTTTCTACTTTATTTGCACTGACAAATCATCATGGACTGTAAAATTGATGGTTTTCTTCTTCAATGAGTTAGAGAATCTGCAAAAGCAACTCAGATCAACGATCCCAGAAAACAAAGTTCTCTGTTTACAAACATGACAATTAAATTCTGCAACGCAACTTCAATGGAAGAACCTCTTGTGAAGAAGAATACAGCTCTTCATCCAACAGTTCATTCCTCAGGGTGCACTTAATAGTGAATGAATGACAAGAGAACAAACAGATGACCAGTCCAGACCATCAAGACTGGAGAAGGAGCAAATTTGCAGTTTTCCTATATGCTTCTGCAGAACTGTTACAAGATTTTCAATGTCCAGGTTTGGGGCAGACAGGGGCAGAAAAAAAATAAAAGGTTGCCAACTCAAACACAAAATTAATTTGCTTGACCTCACTGTTCTAGATTTAAAATCTTGAAGTACTACTATGCTCACTCCACAGAACAAAAATTATCTGTAGTGAGCAAGAAGAATTCAGCAAATTATGTGTAAGCAGCTCCAACTTCTTGTGAATTTTTGGCTCTGTCTTTTCCGTAGGCTTGCAATATAGAGCGCTATCATCTAAGCTAGCTATAGAGAAAGAAGCAAGGCAAGTTCAACTGTTAAGTGTTCTCTGCAAGTCATTTTCCTGTTTGTTGTTGCCTCAAGACAAACAAGTCAAAGGATGTCAATACTTTCTAAAACAGAATTAGTGTATAGCCAACTGTAAAATTAGAAGTAAATTGCAGTGGCAAAGGCAACAGGAGCATTCAATGAACACGAGGGAAAAGTTATTCTTAATTTTAATAGAAGATAAGAGTCATATATAAAGAAGTTCAAATTCTTACCACAGCAGCAATTTCTGCTCCAGTTTTATGGTTTAAAGCAGCAAGTACTACAGAGGCAATGAAAAAGAAGAAAGTGCTGAGTCCAGTGTTGACCAGATCCTAAAAAAATAAATTCATTAGCATTACTAAACAATGATTCTTTGCTCACTTTCATTAGAAGTGATGACAGAAGAAGGTTAGAACAAGAACTATAGCAACACTTTCCCACTTTCTACACAGTTTATCACTTATACAAAAGACGGCAAAGATTATTACACAGGAAACGTAGCATGTGTGCGCATTCGTCTGTGAACTAAAGTCAAATAGCAGGTACATATAAAGCACCAGTGGAGGTTCTGGATGCGTTACCTCAATTTCTACTGGGTTTATTAGAAAAGTATTGTCAGCGTAAACAGTGAGTAAAGTTGTTCTACCTCAGCTGATGCTGAAGTAACCTGAATATCAAGCTTTAGCACTCCAGGAACCCCTTGCTCTCTTTCACGTCACAACAGTGCCCCATGCACTGCCCGGTAACAGTCATGAATTTTACTACAAATTCTTTGAGGCCTTTATTGTAAAAAAACTGCATGTCCCGTGCTATTTCTATAACACCTGCCCGTATTGTGAGGATACACAGATTTTTACGTATTTATTGCATAAAATTGATGTTTCAAGCAGACATTTTAGAACATATTCAGAGCAACACCCTAGGGGTACCTACGTTCAGGGAAAATTCTTGCTTTGCTCCAAGCACAGAAAAATGACAGGCAACACGCAATTCAGTTATACATAGGCTGCATACGTCGCTTAGTGTTCAGATGATTATGCTGCCATGCCTTACAAAAAGCAGGGTCATTAACATAGCATTGGAACGTAAGTAAGAATTCTGAATGGCAGCTATTAGCACAAGAATAATTATGCCAATACAAGACTATCTGATCAGACTGGAGGAAAAAAATTCAAGAGCTGGAACTTTAACAGAAGAAATAAAGTGCTAGATTCATTAGGGACTAGCTGTTCAGTATGTTACTCAGGGCATCTTTCACAATTTTTTAAAATATTTCATACATATGTACACTGCACTATACATACACTACAGAGATGTAGGAAATAACAGACTACCATGATAACTGAATGAATAGGTGAAGTCAGGGAGCAAGGAGGGGTGGGGAAGAATCAGGGAATGGCAGTTCAGCACAAATATCCTGAAGGAACATGAAATCAGTGAGAGGTGAACAGTATCATAGCCAAAAGGGATGGAAAGAAAACCTGTATACAAGTTTGCTGTGCAACTTACAGTTTTGAGTTAAAGAAAAAAAAAAAAAACCCAAAAATACACTGAACATGCCAACTCCCACCATTAAAAAAAAATCCCATCACCACTCTTTAAATAGTATTCAAGGACTAATTGACAAATTTGTTCTACTTGACTCTCTTCTTTCACATGCGAGTCAGGCTCACTTCTCTGTTCCTGCTCCTCCACTTACTACAAGTATAATTTTATTTTTTGATTTTTTTTTCTATTTTCCCCAAAGTGCATCTTGTAAAGTGCTGTAAGAAGCTAGGCTGAAGATATAAATCTAAACTTATTCCCTGGGTATGAATCCCATGACTGTGTTCCAGCTACATAGCACAAAGACATTGAAAGGACCGTTGTCATCCAGCCACCCCCAAAACATGTTTTTCTAGCCATAATTTGAGAATGCTTTAGAAAGTAATTGTAAAAACTGAAAGTTTCAGCCACTGTGTTATTCACAGGGAAAACTATTTTGAGGGTACTGACTTAGCGACAGCTGGTTATCAAAATTAAGCATACCTGGGGATAAACTGTATAAGGTATCACTGTGGCCTGATCCTCGTCTAAAAGGGGGACTTTCCCAAGAAATCGGAGAGGCTTCCACTGCTCACTGCTATATCCACCCACATGTTCAGATTTCATGAGCCCAGTAAGACCCAAACTGTCTTACCAAACAGTAAGGAAACAGGAGCAAACTGTGGGTCTCAAACTCCTACCATCTTTTCACCTGCCAGTGTATAATTAGAGATACTTTTATCTCTCTTCAAGCTCACTGATACAGATGTTATCTGGCACTTACGGCATCAAACAACATTGGAGTTTTATTAAATAATTATTGTAATTTTAATGATATAATTTCTTGCCTTGTGGAGATAAATGTAAGAAATAGAGATATTAGAAAACAAATGGCGTTTCACAATTTCTCCAAGTACCCTCTTTTCCAACTCTGAGTTTAGCAGCTCTACTGTGCTTCCAGGGTTGCCAACAAGAGCTGTGGTTCTCATCTGTACAAACTTTTTTTCACTAGAGGGGAAATCTCACTATATATGACAACAGATACCAGACTCAACAGTATTCAACATTTTCATCAAGTCTGCAGAGTAAACATATGTACATCACCAAAAATGCTGAAACTAAATACTGAGGAGAGGGCAGCTATGCTCTTGAATAATTAAAAAAAAAAATTTAAAAAAAAGATTTAATTCAACCCAAGGTTAAGTTGTGTATTTTACTACCAGAGTACATTTGCCACCTACAGAATGGAGACAAAATGCTAGAAGAAATAACTCAGAAGAACTTAGAAATTACAATAGGTAAGCATCTCAACATGTGATGCCATAACAAAAAAAAAAAAAAAAGAGAAAAAGCACTTATACATTCCTTTGGACATATGGACACGATAGGTGTAAGGTGGTAATCTTACCTTTGCAAGGGACACTGGAATGCTGCATCCTGTTCCGGTATCCACATTTTTAAAAGTATGTTGAAAAATTGGACAGGGTACAGAGAAGAGCCACAGAAGTTATTTGAAAGGAGGAGAAAATTTCTCACAGTATGAATCAGAGAACCTAAACTGCTTTGAATATTAAAGAGATTGAGCTGTGTACATGAAGAATCCAGTGTTCAAATAATCAAAAAATACTAGCTGTTTTAAAAGTTTAGCATAGAAAAGCACAACAAAATTAATAGTGTAACAAAATTAACAGCTGCAAAGTTAAGACAAAAGTCACATCCAAAATGAGGTAAGTTTTAATCGTAAGGGAGCTAACCATCATAACAACCACAGATGTGCTTAATATTCCACCTTTTCACTTCTTATAATCCAGATTGTGTTTTTTCAGACACGCATTTTGTACTTTAGTACCATACTTAAAGACTAAGTAGATGGCACATAATGCTCTATGATTTATGGGGTCAGATATGCTTATTAATTAATCCTGATGACCTCTGACCTTCTGAATTGGTCAGCTTGATCATCTTGCCAAAGGAGAATAGTATAAGCAAGATAGCTAGACCTAGCCACAACATGACAGACACTATCATCTAATTCCATGCTACAAATTGACTTGAAGGTTTCCTGTAAGAAGTTTGAGATACTGCAGAATATGAAATACTGATGAAATTAGACTGCTGGTGCCGTTGTCATGACCTTTCCAGGAAACCAAAGATACAAGTGCATTAGAAACTTTGTCATCATCACTGGCATTTTATTTTATTGTACTCTTTACAAAGAATACCAATTTTCTCCTTGCAAAAAAAATCCAACAATTCCAATCTAAAGACTTGATTCCATCTTGAGGCTCCAATTTATTAATTTCTGCAACTCCGTTTTCCCTGTTTAGGTCAAAACCTTTTAATGCAATTAATAATTGGGTCATACACTAAGGCTGGTTTCTTAAAAAGCTAAAACTACCACAATCTTTTATATTCACAGATCAGACTGTTTGGAGCTTAAGGAGCAATGACACTTGTAACACTGTCATATAATGGTAACATCACAGATGCAAATATTGGTGGAGCTTTTTAATCCAAAATTTGTTACTTACTAGTAAGATCAGAAAGGTAAGAAAAAATACAACGGTTTTGGAAGAACAGTTTGGAGCAGAAACAAAAGAGAATGAACTACAGCAAGAATTCAAGAAGTAAAGGACACTCCCTAAAATAATGTAGCTTTTTTCCACATAAAAGAAAATTAATAACCGTGACAATAAAAAGCATAAACTAATTGAAAAAAGATGAGCCATTTCAAATCTGGCCATGATGTAGCCGAAGTTCTTGCTATTATATTTATAGACAAAGTAAAAACCACATCACACAGATAGAAGAATTTCTGCTGAAATTACAGCAACCTCATGAGACAGTATGCTGTGCCATAAAACACTGTACAAAGCTGCCATCCATAACAGAGAATAAAATCTATGAGCTGAATCAAATCCACTCTAGACTGCTGCTGCTCCCTTTGTCCTTTCCAAAACGATTTAAAAATGAAAGACTGACTTCTGGTCACTTCTTAGTTATTCTCCAGTCATTCTGTTCAGTTCCCAATGGTCCTATTAGTCCAAAGGAGAGCATCCAAGGACACGTATTTGCTACTGCCATCACAGCCAGCTGTCCCACCCAGAAGGGGCATAAGGGGCATCTTAACTTGTGGATGAAGATGGGTTTATGCCAAGACAGCATTTTCTACTAAAATAGACAGGGTGAGGCTTTTTTCTGCTGATTCTGCTGTAATGGTGGGAAACTCCAGAAAAGAAAAGTGGACAGCATCCTACAGTCTTTTGTTTTTAAGGGTCTGGGCAGGTATGGTTCCTGGATTAATGGGGATGGAGAAGCTGAATTAGTGCTATGAATGAGAGGTCTGTTAACAGACCTGAAAACTCCCATTAAGTAATTCCTGAAAGCTGCAAGGGATGTCCACTTTGAAAGCTTCTTTTTAGTCCTCCAGTTTGGCACATTACCAGGAGTTGGCTCTGATGCTCAGCTGTCAGTAATAGTCACGTGCCTTTATCCATCACCCTCCATGGCTTCACGCACGCAAACTTTTAAGACACATTCAATCAAAATACGCACTCTGCTTTTTTATCCTGTATTTCCTGGTGAAAAGGCTGCACAAGTGACCAGATACTATTTAAAAAGGACACAGTACCATATTGCAATTGTAATTTTGTTTATACAAAAACATGACAATTAAACTGGTGGTTGCTTTTGTCATTTGCTTTCTGCAATCCAAGAGTTTACATTTAGATGGAGTTTAAAGTAGCTAAATGAATGTAATCTGGAAAAGAACGCTGCACATTTCAACAGCTTGACTTTGTCACAAAAG